AATGCTCCAGAGTTCCCGTTTGATACGGAGCATGTCAGTGCCCCCGCTGTGAGCGGTATCTATCTAGCATCTAACAAACCAATTTAACAAAATCCTACTTTGCTCTTCCCCAGAGGCCTCTATCTGTGCTTGAGGGGTGCCCGCTTTCTGCGGGGCTGCTAGTCACTGAGCTGTTCAAGGCAGGGCATTAGATTAGTTTGTGCCAGTATGCAAGTTTGCATGCGATGGCTCTGGGGTTTCCTGTTGCATTGTGAGAGGTAGATGTGTTTAATGAACTGCAAGTATATGTTTCCTTACCTGGGAGTTTACTCTCTTGCATATATAACTAATATCACAAGCACAGCTTTCCTGAGCAAACTTCCCAACTCTTTTAGATTATTTAGCAAGTTCTCAGAAACAGACTTAGTGAAGCTGATGCCCTCTTTTGATAAACTCATTTCCTGTCCCACGTCCTCTCCTCCTTCTACATGAGGATGCAGAGAAATAGCTGATTAATACTGATGGGTGTGTGCAGCTTCTCTGTGGGAGTTTCCCGACACAAATCCACCTGCCCCAGCACTGAGCAGCTTTGAGTGGGAAACGTTGTGATGTTGTGACCTTAGCAAGAACAGGAGGCATTGTTGGAGACCAAGTTCTTATTCACTTGATGTGGGGACAGATCCGATTCCTAGGCTATGAAGTTAGTGCACTAATGCATTGGCTCTGCTCTGTCCTTTTTGATTACTTCTTTTGAAACTCGGTGGCTATTTAATAGGAGTTCTCAATATCTCCTTTTCATTTCTTCCCTCTATATCCCTCAAATTGTTTTCCCTGGGGATGCAAAGTTGACAGCACTAATTCACCGTTAGCTACCAATTATATTTGTGGATTTCAACATCATACACAGAACTAATGCAGAATGACTTAATTCTCAGCTTGATAAAGCTGACCTGCTGTGCTTCCTGTTCTGCCTGTACAAAAGCACTTAAAAGTAACAGAGAAGATGCTAACTAGCTCATTTTCATTTCCCCCCCCCCTTTTAAATGCTTTGCTTTATGAAATGGAACTTGATTTTTGCCTCCCAGCTCTGGTGCAAACCAAAGTCATTGCCCATCCAGTGACTGCTTGATCCACTCAAAACAGGCATGTTTTTCTGAGGCTGCTTCACAGCTGGTGCTTTTAGCTGTGAGGGTAGGATGGCGGTGACCCAGAAAGACCTCATTAAAGTTTGTGCATGTGGACCTCACCCGAACTGTACACTGTTCCCCCTTGTACGTGATGGCAAGCAGTGAAGCTTGCTGGGATGAAGAAAGCCAAGATGTAGTAGTCAGCGTAAATAAGGACAGGGTTAAATTATTGCTCTGATGTGACACTGGCTGCAGTTTATTGTCATGGCTAAGTCACAGTCATCTTATATCAGCTCACCTCGGGGCTGCCACGTGCTTGGCAGTGAATTAAGCTGCAAGGGATAAAATGGTGGTGAGCCTCTGCCCTGTTCCCCCTGATGGCAGGGCCCCACATCAGCAGTGGCAGGGCTCTCATCCTCAGCTGCGAGTATGGGAGTGAGCTGAAATTGGATGTGGTTTACTGTAACAGGCCAGGCTGAGGGAAGCAGTGGTTCAGGAGCGGGCCGCCGTCCCCAGTGGCAGGGGCTGAGCAGCAGCAGGGCCACGAGCTGCATCGGGAGCTGCAGCTCAGTCTTCTGCCAGCGGCAAGTCAGAGCGCAGCCGGGGAGCGTCAGGAGGGAAAATATTTCTTATAAAGACTTCCACTGCTGTTCCTAACTGAGAATGAAAACCCATTCTTCTCCTCTCCTACAGAAGAGTTGAGGGTTTTTGGCTAGCTGTAGCCAAGCATATGTAGTTCACATAACTTACTGTAAAATTGTTACATGAGAA